CGATCACGCTCGACATGTTGACCAATGGCAGTAATGGTCCTGTTGAATTTGGCATCCTGATTCAAGAGTTGCCGCACGGTGTGGATGACGCAGAGTGGAAGTCGGCGCTAAGTCTCAGCGTGCAAGGGTACTCGCTGTGGCTCCAGAGATCACGTGAGAATTACTTGGCCAAGTACAACATCCTCCGCAACACCCGCAAGAAGGGCCAGGTGAACCTCCGCCAGAGCTGCAAGGATATGCGCGAGACTCAGCCCAAGCTGTCCGTCGCGCTCTGCCAGTGGTGGGCTCACAATGAAGCTGGGCTCAGGTGATGGGCGAGGAATTATGAAAGCCCATGCTTTGCGTCCTAGTTTAAAAATGAAATGGACATTGGGGTTGTTGATCTCGAGATGGGGGGTCGATCTCTGTAGGGGCCCAGCACCGCCAGGGGCAGCGCCGCCAAAATAAAGCACCATTGCAAAACATTAGTGCTTTGGGAAGAAGGAGCTCCCCCCTGGGCCCTTAACAGGACACCCGCCATGGGGTGCCAATGGGATTCGATTGGAAACCAACTTCACCGCGCACTGGGGGGGGGAGGGGGGCACCATTGGTAGTATAGTAGTAGGGGGGCGAGTAGTAGTAAGTGAGGGTGCTGCCCATGATTGGGCGCCACTGTAATAACATACCATGCCGGGGTATCTGGGGTATCCTGTTTTTTTTTTTTTTTTTTGGGGGGGGGTTTGCCTCCCTCCCCACAGGTGATGTCTGTCGCTCCCCCTCCCCCAGGGTGACGTTGCGCCGCCTAACCCCATAGCCCCGCCAATCGATTGGCTGCCCACGGTGGCCCTGAGCCCCCTCGAATCAGACCACACAACAGGAAGGATTGCGGGACAGGCCCTTGTTGCAACGTCAGGCCTGACGCTGCGACAACGCGGTTCTCCTTCGCATGGGGCGCAGGTTTTGCGGTACATGGGGTGGTAAGTAAGACAGGGTGGCGGGGATTTGCGGTCGGTGCTGTGTGATGGCGGCTATGCATAAGGTCCCTCCCAATGGGGTGAGGGTGGGGTGGGGAGTGGGTATCTTCTTTGTGGTGGATATGTCAAGGTCGTTCCTGGGGGCGTCGTACGAGCAGACGAAGCAGCGTTTTCTCCGTGGGGCTATAGACCAGTACATTGAGGAGCACGTGCGCAAATGCTCGCCGGGCGACTGCGCCGCTTTCTCGAAGATTGCCGTCCTCGCTGGCCTGGCCACTGGAACAGGCGCCCGCGGAAGGGAGCTGCGGCGCGAGCACTCGGAGGCCGCCTCGGACAACAACGACGCTGCCGCCAACGACCCTCTTGCGAAGGAGGAGGCAGTGCTGAAGTACAAGAAGTACATGGCCCAGTTCAGCAGGGAGGAATGTACATTCACGACATGGGTGAATTCTGTCAAGGGTTTCGAGAGCAGCGCTGCCAACGCGCAGTTCAAATGGAACCATACCAACAACGAGAACATGCGCCTGGCAATCTCGCAGATGTTCGACCAGGTGTTTCCTGTGCACGAGGCCCCAAACATCGAGAAAGGGGACAACAAAGCGCGCGCAGCGCATCGCAGCGCCGAAGACTACTATGGCACAACCAGCAGCACTCTGAAAGTCCACTTGTTGAATGGTACTTACTGCGGGGCTGTCAATGAGGACCTACTCGGGATGCTCCCGCGCCACGTCAGTGCCACAGTGAACCGCGAACCGGAGAGCACGGTGTATGTTATCCTCAGTTTCCTGCGGGGCTACGGCATCTCCACAGAGCGCCATGCCCCGCGCCTCACGATGCAGAAGGTCATCAAGAGCCTCACTGAGGACCCAGACTTGAACCTCGAAGTGAACACTTTCACGCTGTGCTTCGAGAAGCGCCCTACAGGTGGCTGGGCAGGGGGCCCGATGAGGCTCGAGGGCGCACTCTGTTTCAGCGCAGACAGAACGAAGACGATGGACTTCGCTTGTCGTTTTTCGAAATCAGCCCTCTACCGCAATGAGACGACTGGAGCCCTCTGCAAGGCACACCCCAGGTCGTCCTATGTGTGCCCCACCAACCCTGCAGTGCAAGGCTACCACTTCCCGGACACCTCGTTGGAGAAAATGGACAAGCAGCGGTACACAGGCCCGGGCATGTACTGGCCGCTCGTGTTGTCTCTCCTATCCGGGCTGGGCTAAAGAGTAAGGACCTGGTCCATTTCAGGGAGGAGGTCGCATACGATGGTACTTTGGCGAGCACGCTTCTGGAGATGATGGCAGCGCCGCCAGAGCAGTTCGTAGCGCCTAAATTCTCATGCAGCATGTTGCTGTGGATGGGTTCCGCATCATCAATTCGCAACAATTTGGTGTACTTGGACAAGACCCTTACAAATTTCGTCAAATCGCTCATCAAGAAAGGATTCCGGGTTAATGGCTATGATCCGCTCCCACCTCTGGACATGCATGCGACTTCCCCTGGCCCTTTGGATCTCTCGCTCTTCAAAGTCACCATGCCCATCACTAGCACTATGACCATGCAGATCCGCGAAGATGAATGGCTCGCCGTTACAGGCCACCCGGAGGTGATCGCCACGTGGCATATGGGGCTAATATGGGACCCCCCTTGTATCATGTATGTTGCTTCTTTGTGTTATTTAAGTATGTTGTGAAGATGGGACCCCCAGTGTTTGGGGCTGTTCTTACTGATCACTCCTTGGGCCCCTTACTGATGTTTTTGGCGCGTACCCATATAGTTGGAATAGGTAACATGCGCAATCAGGGGGCTGGCAGGGTTAACCTGGACACCCTTCGCCTTCAGTTTTGTCAATATTGTTTTGATTTGGCGGGCCCTTCACAGGTGAAATCCCAGGCCGACAAGTGGTTGGATCACTTCAACGCCCGCCACAACCCGAGTGGCAACTTTTGGGTGGACAGCAAGAAGCGCCCAGCTGATTTCGCCGCTGAAGGCGACGAAGCGGTCACCCTGCCGAAACTGTCTCCTGAGGACCCAGAGACCATAGAGGAGCTCGAGAAGGGAGCAGCAGGCCAGGGCTTGAAGAAGGGGCTAAGCACCCTCCAGACTGGCTTGCTTGTGGCGAAGACGACGGAGGGCGCCGTCTACCTCTATGCAGAAGATGCAGACATGGTCGCCCGGAAGGACACCCCTTTGTATGGTTGGGGGCCGGGGAAATGGCTTGTGGATAAAGAGCTGAAAGCAGCGGAAGACAAGACTGCTTCCGCCCCAACCCTCGCCCCGTTCATGTGCAACGATACTCGAGAGGAGATCCGCTTCTATGGAAAGCCGCCATTCACAGACGCTGCGTTTTCGAGCTCCCCACAGCCATTGCGTCAGTTTTTGCAGTACTTGGAAAAGACGCACAATGTGACAGAGCATACGTTGGTGAACCACACGGTGGAGAGGACCGACGGCGGGGCTAATAGCAACCCAGACTACATTGTCAAGCAGGTTTTGCCATGTAAGTTTCTACCATCTAGCAAGGACGACAAGAACTGGTGCGTTGCTGTCACGCATGCTAAGATCGCCGCGTCCGAGCGGGTGCGCGCGATGGTTGACATCGAGTGCCAGGTCGACAAAAAAATACCAGAGGGCCCTTTCGTTATTGGCCCTGCGAGGTCCTTCACATGAACCCCATTCCTTAATAATGTCGTGTCCTCTCTCTATAATCATCTTCAGCTCTTCCCATTGAATTGTTAATGATGGGGCGGAGCTCGTGTGACTGGCCTGGTCAATTAATTAGCGACACCTTGCAGGTGGGCGGGCAGGCAGCAGCAGGGACAGGCAGCAGGGGGGGCAGGCAGCAGGGGGGATGGATGGGAGAGGGTGGGGATGAACATCGAGGTACCACCAGCAGCAGAACACGATGTGCCCCGGGGACATCCACCTCTTCCTGAAGCAGGACACCCGGATCTACAAGAACAAGCTCACGCGCATCGTGTGAGGTCTGCAGTGAGGGGGGGGGGGGGGGGCGACTAGATCGCTTTATGTTTCTCCAAGGAAAGAAAGCAGACAGAGCACTAGCTGCCCTGGCAGGGCAGTCTAGCCCAAGGGGGCCCCGCCGGCTGAGCCCCTGTTGGGGCTCCTGGAGGAGGGTCCCTTGTTGTGGCGTCTGGAATGACGCTACAACAAGGGGCGCGCTACAACAAGGGGCGCCTCTCACATGGAACAGCTCCCGCGATGAGTGGGGGGACAACGATGTACCCCAGAACTCAATATATACAATTGGCAGCAGATACGCACACCACAGGGAGAAACAAATCGCAGGCATTTCAGGCGCGCATGGGCCTGGAACATATATGCAGCAGTTGGAGTCTTGCTGCGCGCCCCTGGGAACGCTTCCCAAATTTTAGTATTCATGGCCCAGCAGTTTTTGTTTATCGCTTGCTGGCATGGCAGCAGGTACAGAGATGGGGCTAATAACCAAGGGGCTAAAAAAAAGACTTGTCGCTTCTTTGTTTTTTGGTATCGGTCTCTCTCAGCAGACAGGAGCAGGCAGGGCTGGCTGGCGCGCAGGAGGAGACAGGGCGGGGCTGGCTGGCGCGCAGGAGGAGTCAGGGCGGCAGCAACAAGCAGTTCCTTCAGGCTCGAGTGGTTAGTGCTGCGCAGCGCGCCCTGTGCGGCGCAACTACCCTTGTGCCTGAGCAATGTCACAGTCGACATCCTCGGACGACGACTACAATGTCAAGGTATACCCGCGGTCTGCAGGCGCGGCGGCGCCAACAGCATCGGCCCCGCCATCGTCGCCCCCAGCCGTGCAGCCGCGGCCAGGAGAACAGTTGATGGAGGGGGCGGCAGGGGCGGGAGGATCAACAGCAGCAGCGCCAATGGACTGGCAGTGCCGCGGGCAGCAGCAGCAGATAGCGGCAGCGCCGCGGATGAGGAGGCCCGGCGGCAGCGCCGCCGCAGCAGCGGCCGCAGGGGCGGCGGCGCGCAAGAGGCCCGCAGCTGCAGCGACTGCAGAGGAGGATGAGGGCGAGAAGGATGAGGAGGAGGAGGAGGGGCCTGTGCGCAAGAGGCCCAACGGCAACACACGCGCGAAGGATGAGGAGGAGGAGGGGGGGCCTCCTGCGCGCAAGAGGCCCAGCGGCAACGCAGGCACATTGGCTGGGCGCAAGAGGCATGCCGCCGCCAGCGCAGCAGCAATGGGCGACAAGGGCGAGAAGGAGGACGAGGAAGAGGAGGACGCAGAGGAGGAGAAGGAGGAGGAGGAGGAGGAGGAGGAGGAGGAGGAGGCTGCTGAGTGTGGGAGCATTAAAAAAAAACCTGCTGCTGCCGCCAAGGCGCCGCCAATTGCCGGCGGCCTGCAGTGGCACAACAGGGGGAACAGCGGCGACGGCGGAGGAGGCGCAGGAATGGCAGGCTCTGTTAGGGCTGCGAAGAGCAGCGACGACCCTTCAGGCAGCGACCCTGGGATCGAGGGCATGCGAGAGTTCTTCGCCGACCACTTGTCGGCGGGCTTGACCTTGAAGGAGACGCACGCGCAGTGGCGCGAGAAGGGCGGGGCTAACCTGGCAGCCGGAGGACGCGCTCCATTTCAGTTGGCAGGCAATTTCATCGACTGGATGCGCGATGGGCACCAGTATTACTGCAAGTATGGCCGCCTCGAGGAAAACCTCTCCACGGCAAAAGCACTGGAGAAATGGAAGGCGATGTCTGAACGGGCCAAGGAGAAATGGCACCGGAAGTCGCACAACCACAACGCAGTGATCCTGGCCATGAAGTTGAGCGACAATGGCAGGGCGAGCCATGGTAAGGCCGCGGATTTAACCATTGCCCTCATGGGAAACATCAAGAAGTCCAACAGGGAGGAGTGGCTCGCCGACATAATGAAGCAGTCAGCCCCCCCCCCGCCGGCGCCTGGCTCATGGAACGAGGGGGGGGCCGCCGCTGGCGTCGCGGATACCCATGGGGCTACAGCAGCAGCAGGGGCAGCAGCGGCAGGCCAGCCACACGCTTCAGAGGAGGGCGGCGGCGGCACTGCAGTAGCTGATGCGGAGGAGGGCACAGCGGCGGCAGCAACGCAGGCAGGCCAGCCGCGCGCTTCTGCGGAGGCTGCTGCGGAAGCAGCGCGTGGGAGCTGAGGGTGAGCGGGGCTGTTTTTTGCAAGTAGACTGCTTCAGGAGGGGCTAACAACTTGGAGGGGCTGCCATGTACATATAGGCCCTACCTGGCGCTAGGGAGCTAAGTTTAGGAGAGTAGTGGCATGCAGTATGGCGCTGCCGCATGGGCGTCGCGCTGCGCAATGGGAAAGATTTTTCGGATGTTTAGAATAGCTCGCTAGAAGGGCGTTGCGATCCAGCAACGCAGGGACGACGCCACTGGCGACGACGACGACGAAAAACGACGACGCCACAGGCCACCACCCTGGCCTTCAGGCCATCACCCCGCCACCGTGCCTGGGGTCGTAGGTTAGAGGCCTCTTGGATGTTCGTTGGGATAATGAATGGTGGGAAGCCTTTTGGGGTCCTCTTGGAGGCAATTTGAAGCCTCTTGGGGTCCATTTGGAAGCTTACTGGGGCTTACTTTTGGGCTTCTTGGGGGCCTTCTTTTCGATGCCTCTTGGGGCCTCCTGGGATTTTCTTTGGGCGGAAGTTTCGAATTATCGGTTCGTGTTGTTCCCCCCTTTGGCCCCTCTTGGGGCCCTCTTGGGGCTCTCTTGCGCTGTCATGGTCGCCTCTTGGGCTGTTCTGGAACCCTCTTGGGCCATCGTCTTGGGGGGGGGTCCTCTTGGGGGCCTCCTTGTCGGCCATCTTGGGCGGCCCTTGGGGCCTCGCGGTCAGTCTTGGAGCGTCGGAAGCTCTGACAGACAGGCGAGGAGGACCCGCACACAACGAAAAAATATAATCACATCTTGGAGCCCTCTTGGGAGGCCTCCTGGAACGCTCTCTGGGCCTCGTGGAGGATTCATGGGCCATCGTATCGGGGCCATCCTGGGCGTCGTGGAACGCTCCAGGAGGGCGCGCGGGAGCGCGCGAGAGCGCCCAGAAAATTTGAGATGTTGGGGCCCCGACTGCCGAGGAATGAGAGGGGGAGGAAGAGGGGGAGGACGAAGAGCGAGGGGGGAGAATCCCCCCCCCTCCGGCGGGCTGGCCCTGCTGACAGGCGAGCCCTAACAGGCGCCATGCGTCTCCTGGCGCGGAGGGCCTGGGAGGGGGTGGGGGAGGGGCCGGGGAAAAAAGGGAGGGCGAAAGGGGGTCAGGGCAAGAAGGGAAACGGGACATGAAAAGAGGCGGCAGAAAAAAAGGAAGGAGAATGGGGGAGGGACAAGGGGAAGGAAGGGAGAGGGGAAAGGGGATGGGAAAAGAGGGGATGGGGAATTGTATGTCGCGTCGATTTTTCATTCAATTTCGCAGTATAGATTCATAGTGTAGTCAAAATCATAGTATACAGTATACAGTCATGTGTTCAATATGCAGTACACTACACAGTATACACTACACAATATACAGTATACAGTCATAAATTCAGTATACAGTATACAATATACAGTATACAGTCATAAATTCAGTAT